CAAATGAACCATTATACTAAGTCGTCCTTTCACTGATAATTAATTTTACTATTTTCTCTACGTACTATACACACAAAAGTAAATAAAAATCGGAGGAACTGAAACGTGTTCACTTCTAATCAATAAGTGTTGTACAAGTACAATACAAACCTCACAAGTCACAAGTCGAAGAGCATCATTAACAATGATACAATATGGGTATCAATAAATATAAAATTATTAAAATTTGTGTAAAAGGAAGAAAGAGAGTGTTTTTTGTTGAAATAATGGGGTGTATTGAAATATAAAATTAATAAAATTTGAGTAAAGAGAAGAGATAGTGGGTATTTTTGGAGAGAGAGAATATCAAATAGTTGATACTTTTGAAGAGAGAAATGGTGTGTTTTTAATAATTTTATATTTAAAGAGAGTATAAAATTAATAAAAGTTGAGTAAAAGGATGAAAGAATGTGTTTTTAATAATTTTATATTTAATGATACCTACATTGTATCATGGATAATGATGGCCTAAGAACTAAACCGAGTTTGTTTGCGGCAAAAGACCAAACGACTTGCTCTTATGACAGTGACAGTCTTGACCATTGCCCGTACCGTACGGCCAGAGAAAAGTTTCCCATTTTAATGTTTTTTTCAAATAAAAGCCAAGTTATTGTAATAAATTTCAAATTCATGCTTGCAAATTAGTCCATATGTTTGTAAGTTTCAAGTCATGTTGTTTCCTCTAATTCTTCAATTTCAAAGTTTGGTTGTTACGTTCGATTAAATAAAAGTATTAAGTTTCTTTCATTGCTTCTGCTCTAATAAGTATCATCCTTATCATCTTTATTGGCTGCTAATAAATTATCAAATGAAACAAACCTCACAAGTCTAAGAACTAAACCGAGTTTGTTTGCACCAAACGACTTGCTCTTATGACAGTGACAGTCTTGACCATTGCCCGTACCGTACACACCTCACGTTCCTCTTGCTTCTAATAAGTTTGTTATTTATACAAATGTTTTTTTTTTTGCTAAACAACCTTTATTTGTAGAAATGTTTCTCATAAGTTATAACAAAAGTTTGATGTTTAATATTAAAAATCTTTCAGTGAAAAAAAAAAGTTATAACAAAAGAAACTCTTCTTGTTCCAATTCTTTTTTTTTTGGTCAATCTTGTTCCAATACCAAGAATTAGTAATTCGGCTTCGATAAAGTAACATACCTCCGTTTTGCTTTTATTATGTTTGTATTTCTTCTGCAATTTCTTATTTGGATTCACCATGTCGTTGTAATTGTATCAACTTAATTTTGTTAGGGAAGCTTTTATATCAGTTCCTCACTTAACATTTAGAAATGTATTTAGC